CTCTGCTCCCCTCAGAGCTCTGCTACAGTATTAAACTGGTTACTGAGCTCTGTCTCGCTCCCTAACTAGTGCTAAGCTGGTAGAGAAATCTGAGACAACTAAATAAATAATAAGCACTTCCCCTTCTAAGGGGCTTACCAGGACAAGGGGAGAGCCTAGATACTCCTTCAGTGCTTTGATTGCTTCCTTACATCAGGTGTCCCACTAAAATGCCTTTTTCAAGACCTGAAAGAAAGGTTGACACTTGTCACTTGATTTGGATACAAAACGACTCAAGGCGGCTTCCTTCATGTCAAGCGTTGGATCTCCCTGATGTTGGATTGTGGTTGCACATCCAAAACTGCCTTAACCTTTTTTGGGTTAGCCTCTACTGCTCTGCTTTTGACTATGAATCCCAGAAACTTTCCTGTTTATACCCCAAAGGTGCACTTTGCAGGGTTGAGTTTTATCTTGTACTCCTTGAGAATTTGGAACGATTCTGCTAGGTGCTCGATGTGTAGCTCTGCCTGCAGTGATTTTACTAACATGTCGTCGATATAGACCTCCATGGATGTCTCAATTTGTTTCTGGAACATTCTATTCACTAGGCGCTAATAAGTGGCTCTAGCATTCTTCAATCCAAAAGACATGACTTGGTAGCAATAAGTTCCCTGTTCAGTCACAAATGATGTCTTCTCCTGGTCTGCTGGGTCCATCCTGATTTGATTATAACCTGAGAAAGGATCCATGAAACTGAGGAGCTCGTGCCCAGCAGTGGCATCCACGATTAAGTCAATTCGAGGTAAAGGAAAGCTGTTCTTGGGGCACGCTCGATTGAGATCAGTGAAATCAATGCAGAGCTGTCATTTCCCATTGGTCATCTTGACCAACACCACATTCGCCAACTAGGTAGGGTAGTCCACCTCTCTGATGGCTTTGGCATGGAGGAGTTTATCGACCTCCTCGTTAATCGTCTTCTGGCATTCTGGAGCAAAACTTCTCCGTTTCTATTTAACAGGTTTGCAAATGGGATTCACGCTTAGCTTATATGTGATGACTGAAGGGTCAATGTCTTACATGTCTTCTTGTTTCCAAGTGAACACCCACATGTTCTTCCTCAGGAACTGGGTGAACAGGTCTTTCATTTCTCTGCTTAACTTAGATCGCATGTAAACAATATGTTCAGGCTCTTCCTCGAGCTGGACTGGCTCTAGCTCTTCTAACGGCATGGGCCTAGTGTCGAGCTCGTCCCTCATGTCAAGCTCATCTAACTGGATATTTTTAACTTCTTTCTGCTTCATCGAGGCCATGTAGCACTCCCTGGCTATTCGTTGGTCTCCTCGGACCATTCTAACTCCATTTTTCGTAGAAAATTTTACGACCAAGTGATATTCTGAGGGGATAGCCTTCATTGTGTTGAGGGATGGTCTCTCAAGTTACATATTGTATGCAGAAGGGACATCAACCACCAGGAATTTCACAGTGGTGGTGGCTTGGCAAGGAGGGTCCCCCATAGTGAGCACGAGTTGGATGGATCCTAGGGGCAACACCCTCTCCCCTGAGAATTCCATTATGTGAGCACTTATTGGCTCAAGCTTTTCCCTTCCTATGCCCATTTTGTCAAAGGCAAAGGCAAAAATAATGTCGATCGAACTCTCATTGTCAATTAGAACTCGATGAACTGTTTGGTTAGCCACAATGGCCCTTACCACCAACGGGTCATCATGGGGATGCTGGCAGCCTTCCAAGTCTAAATCGAAAAAGTGATGGTTATGCTCAATTGAGGTATTTTGGACACGGTGTGCACTTTTAGCGCTTTGCCAGCTCTGATCCTGCGCAGGTGTGCTTTTCCTAGCTACACTGGATCCTCCAACGCCAGCAAATCCTCCAAATATCACTCTGATCTCCCCTTAAGGTTGTTGGTGCTGTGCAGGGGCTTGTTGCTGAGGTGCCGGTGGTGGTGGTGGAGCCATGTTCTGGTTGTCATGGGCGACAAATCGTTGTAACTGCCCCCTCTAGATCAAAAACTCGATCTCTTTCTTTAGCTAAATGCAATCGTCAGTGTGATGATCATGATCCCTATAATACTCACAATACTTCGTAGGGTCTCTTTTAGCTGGATCTGCCTTCATTCGTGGAGGCCACCTTAGGAATTTCTCGTTCTACACCTCGTATAGGATCTGGGACACTGTTGCAATGAGAGCGGTATATTGCTGAGATGCATACCTCGACTGTAGTTCAGGCTGCGGGGGCCCTAAGTGGTCCCTAACGTTCCCCCTCCTTTTTGGGAATCGTTCTTTATCTTTTCTGGGAGATCTATCTCTCTTTGGAGATCTATTTCTTTCCCTCTCTCTCTTGGGACTTCAGTTCCTCTTTTTCTCTTCCTTTACCTTATCTATGTGAGGAAGAGTTCCCTACCTTAGAAAGAAGAGTTTTTTCGCTGTTTATATATTTCTTTGTTTTGACAAGCACCTCGGCCATGCTCGCTTGGAGATTTTTTTATATGAAGAACATCAAATCTTTAGATTACACCCTTAGACCAGCTATGAAGGTAGTGATGGTGAACTTTTCGTCTAGGACATCCACCTTTAACGACTCCAAATTAAATCTTTTGGACATAAGACCTGAGATTTTCTTGAGGTCCCTATTTCACATTCAAAAGGTGATAGCTCAGTTTTCTATAGGTCCGAGCCCCTATGAAATGGGATAGGAAGGAAATCAAAAGTTCTTTGAAGGAAGAGATTGAGGCCGGTGGGAGCCTATTAAACCACGCCAAGGTTGAACCCTTCAAAGTGATGGCAAAGGCTCAATAACATACGGGGTCTTGGTACTCGTACAACTCCATCTGGTTCTTATAAGTATTGAGGTGGTCCATGGGGTCCCTGGTTCCATCAAATGACTCTATCTGTGGCATCCTGAACTTTGGTGGGAGGAAAAAATGCAACACCCCAGGCGTGAATGGAGATTCAGTCTGCTGCACCATGGCGTCCATTGTAACTGGATCTTTACTTCTAACTGCTTCCTTCATGTGGCTAAGCTCCTATTGGATGCCCTTGAAGCGTTGCTCCCAATATTATTCTCTTTTCTCTTGCTGATAAGGGAAGACATAATTCTTTTCACCTTCATGGTTTGACTTTGTACTTCTTCATTGGGTCATTCCTAGGGGGTAGTTAGGGAACCTGCCCCAAGGTCTGACTATTCTCCCATCCTTCGTTGTCTTCTCTGAGTGGATTAAGGTGTTGTTGATCCCTGTGATGAGGACTGTTCTGACCTTCTTGGGCCGGACGTGCCTCTTGTGGGCGCTATAAGAGCTTCAAAAGCTCTTCATTTTGCTTAACAAGCGTTGATTGAAGAGGCGAAGGGCCTCCATCTCGTTATTCGTGGGGGAATTTCCCATGGGAGGATTAGTCTCTAGGACGTTCTCAGGTTGTCTGCCATTGGTGGCTCCCTGTTGATCCTGCATTCGAGGTGGGTTTTTTTGACTTATGCTCATGTTTCGTATTGATACCATCAGTCACTCAGAGATCAGCTTATTTATAACAGGAATAGTCGTTCCCATAGATGGCGCCAAACTGATGGTGCAAACTAACGTGGGTGAACAGATTGCGTGGGGCCAAAGGTGAATCTAGGCTGTCAACTTCACAATGACAAAGATAAAGCGTTTCTTAGAGGGTAAGAAAATTTGTATAGTAGGAATATAGTGGTTCACCGGCTCTGGAGCTCGGCTAATCCACTCTCTAATAGAGGCTCTTGTTCCTTTTTTTCTCTATTGATTACTTGAATGTATTACCGTACAATGCATGATATAATTAGGATTTTTCTAGGGTCCCCTCTCTTTCGATGAGGCGTTACATAGTATTTATAAGCTTGCCCCTTATTTTGTGGGATTTCAGCCGAGATATTTGCCAATTATTCATGGGATCCTCCTTGATTTTAGGAGAGAATCTTGGTTAGTTAAGAGTTTCATGCATTGGGCTTCATTTTCTCAGTCATCCAATTGTTTCCAGGTCGGTTCTGCTACGATCCCCCCAAGGGGTGCTCTACCCCTAGTTTTCTGAGTTCTCTGAGTCTTTCCTGACCTTATTTCCTGACCTCATAGCTAGGGCTTGTTTGAGTTATCATCAAAAAGTATATGGAACTTCTTCTTTGCAAATCCCTAATCGATGAGCATAGGGCTATGGTCGGATCCTATTCTAATCTCATGAAACACTTGCGCATTAGGGAATTTCTATCTCCATTATGTATTTACCAATACCTTGTTAATTCTTTCATGAACATTTGCATTACCTAGTCTATTGTTTGACTAGGTGAAACAAGGCCTTTGAAATTGAGTTCCATCATTTGACAATCTGAAATAAAATTCTATATTTCCTTTTCCTTCTTTGAGCTTTTGCCTTTTCCAACTTTATCCCAAATGAAGCCATTGACATTGAACTCACCTACAATCATCCATGGAATTATAGGATTCCCCCCCCCCAAAGCTTTAAGACCATTTCATATCCTTTATCTTTGAGCGTAATCTAAGCCAGAATGGATGAAAAGTGGCTTGCCACACACTTGATGGATTTCTAGTGATGCAAAAAGTACTGATTATATTCTTGTTGGCAAAGTCAATTGCAAAGGTTATCTCATCTTTCCACCACAAAGCAAGACCTCATGAGAGACCAATGGGTTCAACATAAAGTTCATTTTGGTAACCAACACTTCTTCTCACCCTTTCAAATGTTTCATTTTTGTTTTTTTGTCTCCATTAGGAAAATTTTTAGTGGGTGATGGGAGCTAACCATCCCTCTAAGTGTACGAACTGTTCGGGGTAACCCAACTCCTTGGAAGTTCCAAGAGAGTACTCACATGGACCTTGTGGTTGTTCGAGGCCAACCATCACCACCTTTTCTGAGTCAGGAAAACTTGCGTCTAGAAGAGAGCTTGGGATCTGGGAGGCCCATTGTGTCATACTGACATTCATATCATTCTCATGTTGATATTCTATGTCGTCTACCCCATGATTTTGCAAAATTGCCTCATTCCTTACTTCCACCTCTAAAAGCACACCCAAGTTTTCTATCTGGTTTTGGGCCCTTTGCATTTGGTTTGGATTTTTTCTTTGTGATAGAGGTTGCCTTGTTTGAGAAGGTTTTCTGATTACTATACTTTTGCCTTTGGAGTTTCCACTTGTTCGTAGGGTCTTGTAAATCATCAGTTTCTTTCAATTCCACTCTCAATGGTGCTTCACATGATTTTAGTTTCTTTTGTTGGATCTCCAAATCTTCATAGACCTCAATCATCAATATACCTTTTCTTTTGAGGTTCTTCTTACCAAACTCCACCATTAGTTGTTGCCTATCTTGGTTTTGTCCCATTCCAGAATTATCAGCCTAGAGGTAGAGGTTTTGGATATCAAGGATGAGTTCAGGGTTGGTGGGCTGTGGGTTTATAGGTTATTGGAGTCTAAATGTGGCATTGTTATTGGATCAAGGCATTTTGGTTGGTTATGGGCCACCAAATCGTGAGACAAGTGGGTTGGGCTTTTAGGTGGTTCAATAACAAAGTAGTTGAGTTGATCAAGGTTTTCCTTTGGGTTGAAATTCATTAAAAATACCTACGACTTAGGAATTGAGGTCCCTACTTCATCCTCCTTTGTCTTTTTGGGCCACTCCCTCTGTACAGCCAGATGTATGACCCATTTCCTACTAATGTCATCTCCACTATCTCTGTGCCCATCCCCTACTGATTTGTCGTTACTCAGGGATCCCTATTGTAGGACACATGTTATTTAGGGGTTGGGGGTTAGTGATTCTGACATTTGGTTTATGAGTGGTGCTTCCTTATCTCTAGCCTGATCGTTGCCCTATTCACTCGCTTCACCATCATGTAGATAATGCACCACCAGTGTAGATACATCTTCTCTAGCGGACTGTGAATATAGGGTTAATTGGTTCCCTAATTTCATTGTCTACTTCAAAGACCAGTTTTCCTTGAAGAAAGCCTTGGGTTGATTTGGTGAGGCTCGTGTGTCTGGACCGTAATTATTCTCCTGTGATTCCTCTGTTTTCTCTTCTGGACACTAGGTAGAGCTATGCCCCAATCTTTCACAGTTGCAACAAAAATTAGAGAGTCGCTTGTATTTAAAGCTAATCCAAAGATCATCCAAATTATCTCTCATCAAGAAGAAAACTCTCTTAACTGGGTAGTCTTCCCCAATACTCTTCCAATCCTCAAGGAATTGTTTTTGGTCATCATATCCAAGGGAAGTTCCCAAATTTGCACCCAGAATTCTGCAGAGTTGAAAATAAAATCACACACTATTGGTTGTGGTATGCACTTCCGTAACACTAATAGAAACCCCATCACCGACCAGGGACCTTCATTTAGAATTTTATTCCCCTTCATCCTTAAACCTGAAAAGATAGATTTTCTTCTTCTAATGGGTTATTGCAAACCCCAATTTAGTCTTCCACGCCCCTAATAATACATTGCTAACCCTCTATTTTTTTAGGGGTTGAGTCTGAAATGATTTTTCCCATCATAAGATATTGTTGTAGTTCCTTTGTGTTGGAAGGATTGATATATAGTGAGAGTCTCGGTTGAAACTTTTGGTATGAACTTGCTTCTTGCTTTATTTGGTGAGTATGAATGAGATAGAGGTTGTAATGGTATTGGTGATTGTTTAATCCGATAATTCGACGGATTTTATTTTTGTGGTTCACATCCGAATTCATTAATAATTCAAAATTCGATCCAAAATACGATCCGATCTGAATAACTTAATTTAACTAAATTTTGACAAATTACATCTAAATTTCATTTTAATATTGGGTTTATCTCTACCAATTTGGTCTATTGGGTTTGATTTTTGGTCATATGGTCAATTGTTAGTTGCATGCTTCACATCAACACAATTTCTAGCTGTTGTCATTTGTTTTGTAATACTATTGATGAGAATTGGGTCGGCCTTTTTTAGATGAAAAATGTTACTTGAATCTAAAAATCTGACATAATTTGCTGATCTAATGATGTGACTTCATTAGAATCATTGGATAAACACCAAGTTCCAATATTTGATGGAGCTCACAATTAATCCAAATATCATAGTGAATTAGATCAGCAAATTAGGTCAATAAATTAAGTTCCAATAACATTACTCTTTTTAGATAAGAGTTTGGACCACTTACATATAAATTATGTACATTAGTTTTTACCATTCAGAGTTTATGATTTTAGAATATGCTTTGTCGAAATTATTTTAGAAAGTAGCGGGACTTCGTTGATTGACGATTTTTCTCATTCTTTTTTTCGCATACCTCGCGAATATGGTGAAGTTTGGCACCTTGTATCCAGTGGGTCCCTTCTTCTCGGCACTCGGGAAACGCAATCTCTTAGCATCTCTGGTTTTTATGATTAAAAATAATATTTGTACCCATAATGTTACTAATTTTAAATACGAAATTAATGTGCGAGGTTCACTAGTAATTCCCTTCGTCAAGTATAACGTGACTCCGAGTTAAATATATATAATGTGACTCTCTTATTTAATTATTCATATTTATTAAAGTTAGCAATTGACTTAATGTTTATGACCTTCGCCTGTTAATGTTAAACTCATTAATTAAAACTTTGTCGTCGTTTTCATTGCATTTGTCAGAATCTATGGTATATATTTGAAAGAGCTTGACCTTATTACTTCTCTCATGGTATAATTCTCTTTCCACCAATATCCCTTTCTCCTCGGTCCACAAAGATAAAATGTAAGACTGGTGCCAACAATTCATCATGGAGGAAAGTTCAACGATAATAATTTAGATTTCACGATGAGAAATATAAGGAGTAAAACATTTTTGTACATAGACGAATCCAAAAAATCAATTATGGGTAGACACTCTACCAAGTTAATTTTTTTTTTTTCATATTGATGAAAATAATATGATATATTTATATTTATTTACATAATATTAGCTACCTAAAAATTCAGCAAACACAATAAGGTTAAAAATCGATATATACACTATAACAAACAAAAAAAAAATACTTATTATGACCTATAGCAAAAAAAAGTTAATTGCAACTGTTTTTAATTGATCACCATGAGTTTTTCATACTTTGAAAGAAATTATTTCATTATCAACGCTATTGAAAATGTTTTTTTACATACTTATACAATGACACTAAATTTTGTACACTAACAAATTATCCCTAATTGTTTTGAAAACTAACAAATAGTTTCTACATATCAAAAATTTATCCGGATATGTCATTATATTTCTAAACCATGTCCCAAAGTTCCTAATTATTTAAGAATGGGTCTATAGTAATTGACGGTATAATGTATAAAAATCTATGGAAACAAAAGTTTGGAGGTGGGTATAGAAACACACGAAACACTTTAAAGTATGAAAATCTCGGTATTCAATCATTAATTCGGATCAATTTCTACACAATTAGAAATTTTTCGGACATTATGCTTATTTCCAAAGAAAATTTATTACCTTGATCAGTAATTGTTAAATTCCAGACAGTGAACAGAAAATGTCAAGAAATACTAAAGGTCTATTTGATTAGGAAGAAAAGAACGATAAAAAATAAAAATGATAGAAAGTGAAATGAAAAAAAATGTACTTTCATGTATGTATTTGGTAGCATGAAAAAATTACAAAAAAGTTTTAAACAAATTTCAGTCTATTATTTGAAAGAAAGAAAAGTTACAAAAAAAAAATTCTAATTGTTTAAATAACCCTTAAGTATAATAAATCAATATAAAAAGGTCAAAAATATTTATTATAATTAAAATTTTTAAAAAGGTGGCTCCTACCCTATTTATGAAATAAGCCCCAACACCAAGTTCTTTGAACTAAATTATATGGTTAGTTAAATTCATATTAAGATTTTTTTAAATTAATAACTAATAAAATATTTTAAGAAAAATAAGGGTAACATTGGAAGATAATTAAACATCACAACTTTCTTATATTTTCTTGTATCTTTTACAAGAAAAAAAAGTTTGTTAGTTGTGAGAAAATCTAAGTATGAAAAAAAAATATTTTTTTCATCATTTTTGATTTCATACTAGCAAAACACATAAAAATTTTATATTTTTTTATCATTATCTAACTAAACAAACGGGAGCCTACGAGGAACACAAGGGGTAACAATTGCTTGAATGAATTGTGACCATGAAACGAATTTGGCATAAGACAGTTCTTTTTCATACTGGCATGAGACACATGTGGTTGTTCCCACATTCCTGTCTTTCTCTATCCCTGTTTCCAAAGGTGACAATTGGGACTCGGCTCGTAATTAACTTTTTGTGACTATTTGTAAAGGGTAGAAATCGCTACGGATCTCATCCCTCCACTTGAAGGATTTCGGCTGACCTGGCGGCACCGAGCCCCAGTAGCCTTTTACCTCTCTTAGCCAATATAACTATTTCCTAAGGCAATCCCACATCAGAAGAGAGTCTTCTTCCCCCATGCCATATAAGTGAACACTTCCTATGGAGGAGGTACCCACTAGCGACCTGATCAGGTGCCTAGTGGGTACCTCCTCCATAGGAAGTGTTCACTTATATGGCAGGGGGGAAGACGACTCTCTTCTGATGTGGGATTGCCTTAGGAAAGGGTCCTATTGGCGAAGAGAGGTAAAAGGCTACTGGGGCTCGGTGCCGCCAGGTCAGCCGGAATCGTTCAAGTGGAGGGATGAGATCCGTAGCGATTTCTACCCCTTACAAAATGACGCCTTTCTGTAAGGGGTAGAACCCTCTACTAAGGATTTCGGCTTGACCTGGGTTAACCCACGCGGGCGACCCCCCAGTAGCCTTTACCTCTCTTCGCCAATAGGACCCTTTCCTAAGGCAATCCCACATCGGAAGAGAGTCGTCTCCCCCCCTGCCATATAAGTGAACACTTTCTATGGAGGAGGTACCCACCGGAATCCTTCAAGTGGAGGGATGAGATCCGTAGCGATTTTCTACCTCTTACACCATTCTAAGTAGATCGTAAATTAAACAACCTTATCCACGATGGAAATTTTGGAACCGAAAAGGCGTATAGATTTAATTATTATAACCAGTAATTTTTTTTCCAATTGAATTTTTTTTTCCCATTCATAACTGATGGTGACATAATTGGACAGATTGATATTTGCATTTAAATTTGGTAATACATTTCTGTTTTATTTTATGATTTGACTATTAAAAAATTGTGTCTAATTATTATTGTAATGAATCGCAAACAAATACACCGAACACATGAAAACAACTTGAAAAAGAATTATGATATAACCAAAGAAGAGAGGGATAAATTGTCAATATTTTGACTTCAGCAAAAATTAACCGTTCGTAGTTTAAAGGGTCGGAATTGGCCATTACGAGATACACTATGGATATGTTTGGCTAGAAAGAAAAAATGATGAGAAGTGAAGGAGATAGAAAAAAAAAAAAGTGAAAGAAAATATATTTTCGTGTATTTGGTTACTATGAAAATTTTCTTAGAAAATATTAAAATAATCAAAAATCAGTGCTATTATTTTATATATATATATATATATATTTTGTTTTTTAATTTGTCGTGTTTGGGTTGAACTCGAGTTCACGAGGCTTTAACCCGAGCCCATCCCAAATTGAATTCGGGTTGAAATTTTTTAACTCAAGCCAACTTAAGTATTAAAAATTCTTGCCTACGTCCTAATTTTTTCGGGTTGTCCAACCTGAGTTAGAACCCTATTCTTGACACCTTAAATTTTTAAGAGGATATTCATCTT